ACACAAACTCTTACATGCAAACTCTAAAAAGCAAATGGAGCAAGGCATAAAATCTTGCAAAGTGAACTTTGTGCTCAAATTTACACACAGTCGTTGGCGTAGCTGATGCCACAATGTGCGTGCAACGGCGCCAATTGCAACAACAAMAAAAAATAAGAAACAACTACTTGCAGCGGTGCTACAGACAGACGCCCGACACAGCTGACGAAGTGTAGAAATATGCATTATTTTACATTTATGTATGAATATACATTTTTATATATGCTCATGTAAATTATAAATATTTGTGTGCGCATAACTGTACATATTTGCTTGCAGCTGCCGGTGTTGAACTCAAAAAGTTTTGATTTCTATTTATTTTTGTTACTTTTCAAGTGAAAATTCAGAGCCGTATAAGTAAATACATATATACAGCTACATTTAGATAAATCTGTATATATTTGTAAATGTATGTAAATATGTGTGTGTGTGTGTGTCTGCCACATTGTTGTGAACTTCCCCCATTCGCTGCAATGTYAATGCAATCGCTTAATAAACCGTTGATTCGTATAAATTTCAATTTCAATTAATTTCGCCATGACATTGCCACAATGACAGCCGAGACGCGACCGAGACAATTAACTGTCAGCACCTAACAGCACTTTTCGAAAAAAAGAACCCAAAGCGAAATGCAGATAAGTGTTGCATAAGCCCAACTGCAAACAGCAACAAACACATAGTGAAATAGTAAAAGACTAGGCATATTTGGAGGCAGTCAAGAGACAACTGACGCTCGGGCAGCTGCTGCTTGATTAATTAATTAATAAAAAGCGCCAAGTTGCACGCTCATCAATGCCACAGACACTCATCTAAACATATGCACATTGATGGGTTATGTCTGCATGCCACACTCATTGTTGTAACGGTCGTTTAGTATGTGTGTGAGTTCCAAATAGGCTCGACTATTCTCATGAGGGTCTGCGCGCCCACAAAATTATTTGACTACAACAAAGTTACAGATCTGTTAAATTGGAAGCAAGAGTAGCTTCAGACAT